ACAAACTAAGTCTACGTAAGAAGTCTACTTAATCAATACAAACTAAGTCTACTTAATCAATACAAACTAAGTCTTAATCAATTCAAACCGATATCAGTTACTTGAAACACTAATAAAAATTCACAATTTACCCAACATGGTAATGACTAGAAAGAAACAATACAAATGCTAAAAACGAGCATAGCGACAAAGTAGTAACAAGAATGATTTCCCGTACTCCGAACCGAATGATCCAGAAGATGAGAAATTAGTAATTGTCCTCTTCTGAACACTTGAAAATCTTGAGCTAAGAAATGATTAACGTATTCATTGTTTTTATCTAACAAGCTTAAATTATTCAAATTTTATCATTGAAGCACAAGTTCATTCATGAAAAGATTCAAACATAATGTAATAATTGACTACGCGTGATTCTTTCATCAAGGAAAATTTTTGGATATATAAAAACTCTATTGAATATTTGTTACTTTGATTCTAAAATCAAGTTTCTAAAATGAAGTTTAGTCTTGCATTTAATATTTATAAATTTATACAATGTGGACATTTTATATAAGTTAAAAGATATTTGACTTCTTTATAGCTTGATATTTGATCAAAATAGTTTGAAATTGATATGAAATATATTCAAATTTTATTAAAATATTACTACTCACAGGTATATGATTTATAAATATCTAGTAGTCACTATGCCCGCAAAAAATTTTACGTAATACAACCGGTCATTTGTATCGATTCAGATCTTTCATTCTACGTGAATAACCAGAGAAATAAAAATGTAAACAACTCACTCTTAAATATGAAGACTCTTATTGTCAAAAAGGAACCATCGAATCCCGTGGTAGAAGTAGATTGAAAAAATCTACAAGAGAGAATAAGAAATATTAGATCTTGCTTTTAAAATTTTAATCATTTGAGAAGTTGGAGTTCAGAATTTAACTCTAAATTATTTAATTTACTATTGAAATATAGGATTGAAAAGCATCAATGTGAAAAATTCACATTTAAACTTGAAACTAGGAATTTACAAGCTAGGAAACACATCTGCGGTTGGATCCAACTGCTCATGAGAACAATATAGATTATATGCAGGTTATGTTATGTGACAGTACTAGAAAGGTACTAATAAGTAGTCTCACTTAATATGTAGCACAATGTGAAAATTATTTTAATTTTTAATTCGAATGTAATGAAATAAAATGAACTTCAACTTTAACTTATATACACACATATATATACATACATTATACACACATAAATCGATAATATATATATCAAAATATATAACATAGATCGAAATACATAATATTAGTAATGCGAAATACAATAAAATAATTCTTTTAATATATTTGAAATAAAAAAACTAACTGAATATAAAAAATGATTTCCCCAACTTTTTATAAATTTACCTTCTCAACAGATTGCAGAATTAATATCATATATTAACTATACATTGAAATAGATATCAATTTTGACTCGAATGTTAACTAGTAATCGAATAAAATAATAATAAATACATCTATGTATTTTTGTCATAATAAAACGGATAATACCTTCACGAAATTATCGGATGTCGAACTTCAAATATGGCGACTATGTTTAAAATATCCTTGTTCGCGCTATTTCATTGTTGCATTCAAATCCGCCATATTATATGTGAATCCACTGCATGTGAAATACAAAGAAATCGAAAATTATAACAAATACATAATACTAAATTACCAGTTATATTGAAATAAAATATTACCGAAGTTAACATCTTGAAAAGCTACCAGTGATTCAGATAACCAAACAGAAGTATTATGATAACGTTGGACAAGTTGTTAAATGAACACGTATTAATTGAACGAACAATGAAGCAATAAAGCAATAAAAGCTACGAGCAGTGGTGACAGATCAGGTAGGTTATGTTGCACGTTAAATGAAGCGATGCACGATCGACAATACAACTTCGTCATACTTCGTCATTCGGATTGCTGATTCGTTCGGCAATGTTCGGTTCCCCTTCCACTTGAAATTGCGTATCGAGTCCAATTTTCGTTTACCTTAGAAATATTCGCTGTTTGAACGACGAGACATTCGGTTCGGGAGAAATTATCATTTTCGTTTTGTTTTGCTTTGTGACTCGACGAAATTCGTGTGTGTTTCTTCAGAAGGACGATTTCTTGGAACGGCAAGAAATATTTTCGTAGTGAGTATTCTGTATACGATATTATTAAACGCAGCTAACCGCGTATATCTATAGCGATTAATATTTCGATCGATATCGATAGTTAAAATGGCCGTTAACACATTCGTTTAAATTTCGTTACAATTTAATTATCTATCTGTTAAAAAATAAACTAAAGAAAAAAATGTTACAGACGTAGTGCTTTAGATAGAAATAATAGAATTAAATTAACATACTACAGCATACTATATTACATGAAAAATAGTGTACATTGAAGTACATAGTTAAAGATATTAGAAAAGGATTGTTAATCATATGGATACATACATAAGAAGCATAATCTCTTCTCACTCTCATTATTATAAAGATACCAGACAAGATATATCAGGCCTTTTTTTTAGTGAAACAAAATGGCATATACACACATTTGATTAAAAGTATTATGAATTATGTAGAATATGAATACAAATGTATAAGTGGTTGAAAATTACTTTCTTTAGAAGTGAAATGACATTATACTTACATGTAAATAATTTTATAAAATTATACGTATTATGTTGCAAAAAATTTATTATATTTTGTAATATTTATATATGTCTCCTATTGCATGTCGCAGTATTTTGAAATATTCTTTTCAGATTTGCAACGTTTTACTCATTTGTTGCGAATTTTGATGCGACGCGTGGCACCTGGCTTTGTACTTCTAATTACTTGAAACTAAAGATAAACTCGCATCTTGATTACTACAGTGTGAAAACGAAAGATAAACTTAATCTGTCTTAATATATCTTCTCCGACGACTAACGAACTTAATCTATCTTAATCTACGTCTCTGTACAGTCTATATTTTACAATTTAGAAACCTAAAAACAGCCTTTCGAAGCCTGGAATTACCTCGAATTCAATATGTAGATTACTTTTCAACACGTAAAGTAATATGTAAATTAAAATTATTTTCATTATTTTTCAAAAATGAACAATAATGAATCGTCCATTAAGAACAGTCATAATTCACTAAGAAACATTAATTTAATGAATCACACAGGATATTAACTAATCGAGAAGTTGTAATTGAAGTTGAACAATGAAAGTACCAGGCGTAAAGATTTCTATGATATTTACCTCATTTGTCACTAGAGCATTATGAATTTCAACATTTATCATCTTCGTAAATACATCTAGAAAGAGTGTGAATGATAAAAAATGTACTGCACAGTCAGATTCATGTATTTGCTTGCACAGTACGCTTTTTAATTTGTTTAATCAAACATTATTTCTAATGTAGGATTATAATTTTACCTCGTAATAAAAGCCACAAACTAAATTATAACATTTTTCGTCGTGTTTGAGCTGAAATTCAAATTCTCTTCATTAAAAGAATTATACTTTTTCCGGCTGCTTATCTAAATAGTTCGTTATTTGAGCCTTTTAGTCGTCAAAATGTGAACAGAATATGAATTACTTTTCTGCCACGACTTCCTTTAATATTCTCATAGCCAGAAATATCTTCGTTGCCTAATCTAATTGAACGAACCATTTCCTCTGCTCTCTAGTAGAAATACAATCTTTACAATTCAACCACCTTAAAATCCACCTCTATGATATTACGTTTTGTTGTACGTGGTGCAAACGTAATATCACGCAGTTGAATTTTACGTCGCATAATCTCTCGTTGTACGTACGTAGATGTTTCCTTTCTGAAACATAGGATTTCCTGCAAATTTAATAAACATTCATATGGTAACGTTAGTGAGGCAATAAACCATCAAATACATCGTTCACTATTTCAACAAAAACGTCTGAATTCATCTGTCCGTAAAAACCAAGTCAAATTCTATCTGAACGTCTGAAATTCCTGCCCCGCGAGTTTGATAACACGTATGGATCTACTATTTTTTATTCAAGCTCGTTACAGTCACGAAACGCGCCACGAAAGGAGAACACGCGATAAAGATTTGAATCGAAAATATCGCGTAAGCGTGAAACGGTGCCATTTCTCAGGGAAGGAATCGGCGTAGTCTCAGCCGGAAGCTAGGAGGCTAATTAAAAATGCTTCCGTCACGAGCCCGCGGAGACAAAAGGAACTTATGAATTACACGGAGAATCCTTCAGCGGCCTCGCAGCTCGGCCACGAAGCGCGGAATAAAAAGATCACGAAGAGGGGAATAAAAAAAAAAAAGAAAAGAAAAGAGTCTCTGTTAGTTTTAGCTCTCAATGCAACGTTGTTGCAGTTCCGCATGGACGAACGAGAATCGTGTGTTTGAATTGCACGATGTGATTAATTATCTGCTTATCTTGCCTTTCGAGTCGATCGGCGGAACGCTTTATATATAGAAATAATCGTCGATCATTGTTGCGAAAAGTATCAATCATTTTCTTTGATCGAAATCTTTTGTAATGGATTTGAT